TTCTAAAATCGATAATGCATCTTACAAAGGTTGTGTGGAATTGCGATGCCGTTACCATGTATGACTGTGTAGTCCCCGTTGTGAAGTACACGCATATGTCCTAGCTGTATGTCCTGACATAATAGCAGCCGGATAGTCTCATGTCGTCGTGATGCTGCTGCTGATGCCGCTGAGGACGCTGTGCTGAGTCAGATACTGGCGCCATACTGCAGTCAGATAGGTGTGCATGTACTTACGATCGACGCAAGCATATGCGTTGAGACAAATAGATCGCTCAACCTCTTGCACGTTATTTTTAAGTCCGACCCCGGTTTCGCCACATTTACTCTTTGCATGTATTCAGGTAATTAAAGAATTTCGGAAAAAAGAAAACATGTTTCCAGTTGGTTCAGAACTGTTCAAGTTGGGGGCACGATCGATAAGCCAGTAATTAAAATCGAATAAAGGCTTCACAACTGCAGATGAGCATAATCTAGAACTATCGACTCGAGGGGGACTTTTGTCGTATCGATGACTAACCCCGAAATGAGATATGATATCACTACATGGTTAATAAGCCCGTGAAACCCATGCAATAAAACTGAAGGGTTTCGATTAATTATGGGAAATTTTATGAACTGGCACCAGGAATAGCTCGTAAAAGTGAAGGTTGGCTGGGCTGGTCAGTGATATTCGCCAGTAGGGAATGCTGCTGGGTAATTTGACTGGCCACTTCGTGCACACTTAATTCAAATATAATGCATGATGTAGTGGGCCTGCCTCGCACCGAGGGGAGGACAGCTTGATAAAGAACAGGTCCCCTGATTAAAAGCGGAGCTTCTTTTTATACCGTGTAATTGATATGACAATGGTCTGGCGAAACGAGAACGGTTGTTGCTCTGTTGCACGTCATTTTGTAAACAATTAAATATTCACAATTTGAAGTTAACCTCAAACATTTGGATATATTCACGTACTTATAAAAGTATACATTATGATTGTCATTAACATTAGCTTGTTTTAATTCCTCCTACAATGTTACAGAGAGTAATGGCGTCATAGTCTAGGTCGGTTGTCCAGACAAGTCAGCGTATTGTTGATATATAAGGCATCCTTGGATCAGTAAATATGCGATGAGGCCAAAATCGATGTAGAGAATACAGGTTTGTACAATCCACAGACACCGCTTCTGGCGTTCCATTACCTCCAGACTATGTCTTTATTAGCTGCTGAATCTGTCAGACTGAGGGGACCTCTGACCTGTTTCCTCCACCGACTGGCTGTTCTTGGGGAATATTGGTGCCTTGGTTTAGTGGCTCTGGACAAATATTGCTGTGTCGGTGGAGGTACTATTTAAAGGTGCACTGGCTTTGCATTGTATGTGACAATACATAGCCACGGCAATGATAGCAATATTGCACGATATTACGAACTGAATACACACTGCATACGAATCCTCTGTCATGGTATCAACTCGCACGACATGAAGCAGGATATATAGACTTGTCATATCGGAATCTCTATCTCACCATTTATGTTGATAGGGTGGTTACTCGTATCTGTTCAGTGGCTTGTCGATTGTTTCCCAGGGTGGAAAATATTCCCAAAATACAACAGTTTGTCTAAAATTTAGTGGCAGTAGTTTTCACTATTGACAATTGTTAACACATTCAGTTTGTATTGCTGAATGTCATCAGTGGTAGGTTTGATGATGTAGCATTGAGGTTACATGGACGTCAATGTCATTCTTTCAGAGCTGCTTGAAAGGTGAGTGAGTTTAGTTTTACGCCGCACTCAGCAATATTCCAGCTATATGGCGGCGGTCTGTAAATAATCGAGTCTGGACCAGACAATCCAGTGATCCACAGCATGAGCATCGATCTGCGCAATTGGGAACCGATGACATGTGTCAACCAAGTCAGCGAGCCTGACCACCTGATCCCGTTAGTCGCCTCTTACGACAAGTGCTTGAAAGGTCCGTACCGTTTGAAAGAACTAAAAAAATTAAAGAATAAAAATCGTCAAAACTATAAATCACCCTATCTTCATTACCACCAAATGCCCGGAAGAATTTGTTAACAGCAATGAACCAGTGGCCAAATGTATTTTAAAGCTACCTCCGCCCATTGTGTCCTAACAACAACATATCTCGTACGTAATAACGATTACAGCGGCTATAATAATACATCTATTTTTGTTGACATGGCAACCTGTGTAAACTGATCCTTCTGTTGTCTTGAGAACGAATGGTACTGGCTGTGCAGGGCAATACGCAGTAGCACCACCCACAGGCAATGGCCTTTCATTCATCTTGAGGCGAACCCTTACAGTGCAATATAGATTAACTTTTTGCATAATTCCCTAGGGATTGGTAACGATGGTTTAGTATTGGAAAACGGTCTTTGATGACGACGTTCTGGCTGGTATATCAACATGCACCGCGTGGTGATATGAGCTGTAACGTCAGCACTGCAGTAGGACCAAAACACACACAACAAAGGATGGGTTTGTCTCTATTTATGGAGACAAGGACACAATGTATAAGCTTTTGAAGCCTATCAATGCTCAGAAGAAGTCTGGTAAGACAGGAAATATGCTCAGTGCATCGGGACAGACTAACAATGCCTTCGTTGCTTCATAACAGGAGAGATTAACTTTGATCTTGCAGGGCACATTAAGTGAATTAAGTGTGTTTTATACATCACGTGAACTATTCATGGGTTTATTCCATTAGAGGTCAACTTGTTTACGTCTTTTAGAAAAATAGATTACATCAATAAGCTCGGAATAATTCATACCAGTTTTAATATGTTTACATTCAAATAGCATCTTCGATTTAATGCTTAAATCGTGTTTGATGCTCACGGAGCACATTTATCCTTGTGAATTAACAATACTGCAGCTTTCAGTTGCTCGAAATAAATGAAATAAAAAATGTTTTGAAATTTCATCTGAGTTTTTAAGGAATAACGCATGGTCGAGCACTGAGGATTTACACAGAAATGTACGCGGAAACCTATCTGATGAAGCACATCAGTGTTAAATGTGCCTCGTGACTCTCTTAGTTCATATTATCAAATGCCTTTATTGTTGGGCTGGAGGCCAACTTTCCCGTAGCAAGCCAATCAATTACAGCGACACACCACTGTCATACTGGGCTTGAGAATTACCTTCTCTTAAAATGTGCCTTGGTGCAGTTATCCAGACAGGTCCGCACCAACTGCTGGAGCAATCGCAATGAAACGAGATGAGATGATATCCTGATGGTTCCGATCTCAGAAATAATCAACCAATTTATGATTATAAAATCAAATTTAAGAGCGATGCATTAAATATCATTCGAAGCAATCTCTTCAGTTGTTACATCGAGAGGGCGAGTCTGTGTGTGGTTATGTAATACACGGCTGAAAGATACAACAGTATTTGGTCTTTCTGCGCTGGCAATAGAAACATTCGATGCATAACCCACAATACGACATACCATAAAACATTCTGATGCGTAAACATAATTTACAATTAATGTAGGGAGGATGGCCATAAAACGCAAGCAATTAGCGTGTATGACGTCTGCATTGAGTTATACACCACTCGTCTCATGATCGACCTCATTTGTTCTCATTTGGTGGGAACTTTCCGAATGCATTATTCATAATCATCACTGCAAAAAAAATTGATTTATGTTAAATTCAGCACTACTTTGACCATTCAGATCATTTTTTTTCATTTTTCAAATCTGTATAGTTTGTATTGAATTATATATATTTAAACCTACTTTATCAAACACAAATCTTACATTCTAAAAACAGTACAATTATGAATTAGTATATAAGTTGTTTCCCTGAAACAATTTATTGGTTTATGTGAGTGTGAAACTACTTGAAGTGGAAGTAGTGTATATACAGGTAATTGTTATGATGGGTGATGAAAGAGCTGTACCATCACTGACTTATTATTATGATGATGCTGAATATTAAAACGGGTATTGTCATGTTATATTCTTTACAACTAACTATTGTTGCTCTTTTGTTCCCCAAACCCTGCCCTGTCACAACTGTTGAAAGGCACGCGAGTGAATTGTTACCACAATTATTAATCAATAACGATTTGATTTATTAAAGACCAACAAGACTGTGGTACTGATTGGACAAAGCCGTCTGCAATTGGCTCGGAGTCTAAACTGTGACTGAATACCGTTCCCATAACTCACATGATTGTTGTGTATATATTCAGAGGGACATGATGAAGGATTAAGCATGCTTGTGTTTACCTCAATAAATCCAGACCATGGAATATTGATGATGAGAATGTAGGCTTCGCGTGCTAGATGTCAGTAACTAATCTGTTACCACAGCGTTGTCAAACATGACGGACAAGACAGCCATTTGCATTGTATGACAACTGTCACTATGGTGAGGACGAGAGGTGTAATTAGCCCGCTATAACAACCACAGTATCACCTGTAGGGATTTAATAAGGGCTTAGCTTAATCTGACGGTACAAATGTATACAGGCGCCCCTGGGTATTGCTCGCCAACACTGTCACTACAGACTATCTGCATCAACGGTGTATATTTATTCACAGTACCGGAAGTGACGTACACACGGTGGTTAAAGGGGGCATTATCAAGTCTGGCAACCATCTTGATAGACCTGCTTCCGGTGTTTCAAGTATTTAAAGAGGCACTTGTAACACGGGGAGGGATTGTGTCGACACTGCGGCCAGGTGCGTCACACGATTCACTGCGGGCATTAGCCACCATGATGTACAGCTGAATCTCCCCAACATGGCATACACCTTGACCGACTGGCGTCAGAAAGAATGATTATGACTCATCACTGAAAAACTAACATCTTCTCAACACTGAGATGATCAAATGCCGACTACCACCCAAGATCGTATTCATACATCGTGTTGAGTTTTACTAGAAACATTTGTTTCATTTGGTGTCGTACAAACTCTTACATCAGTTGCTCTGAAAGCATTCATTGAGATCCAAGTGGAAGAAGCAGTCAAGACTATGTATGATAACAACTGGGTTTATACCATAATCCACTACTGTTTGGCACAGTTTTCAATCTCACAGCCTTTCATAGCTCTAAGTATACATCTGTCGGCTCTAAGCGACATTCACAAACAAGTCAAAATAAACAAGAACACAGCTGGAATGCTAATAGAAGGAAAGGAGCACACATACAATACTCACAGAATAATCAATAAACCATTAACGAATAGATAGTAAGAATATAGTTGGAATGCTTCTATGTCTCCAAGAGGACGACGTCTTAGTTCGTGTCCTAAATGAAGATAACACACGGTAATTGTTAGTGGGAGCAGTCAAATGAATGCAGGATTTCCAGATTGTGAATCGTACTATGACGAGACGGAAAAACTAACGTGATTTGCAATTAGAGGGGATCGATACTGTCTTGGCTATCACGTCGATAAGATTCCCAGATCGTCATTGATTAGTAGGCTCAGGAGGCGCACGGACCGAAGCTAGATCAAGTTTCAGTTTGGTCATTTTGATTTGATATATGTACCGCCTGGCCCACTCTTAATAAACACTGAGTGAACGAGGAGATGAACAAACATACACAAACTTACTATGATAGAAAATATCTATTTTCTGTCCACGACGAAAGTATATGTGAAATGTCCTTAGCAGATGGAAGATTGATGAAGCACAACGACTGGAGCCCTTGTTGGGCGCCATAACAATGTCTCGGATGTCAGTGATGGTCAACACAAAATGTCGACAAAAATAACAAGTCTCTGTCTGGTAGATGAGCAATGGGATGATACGCGCACAGTTAGACGGAGCAGCAGGGACCTGGGCCCCGTTTGGCCGGTTGAAGCACTGCTTGTGCACAACAGTTCTGGCACTGAGTACAAGCGCGACACCATGCAGTATGCGGACATGCTTCAGGGGGCAGGCACGCTTCCTGGAACACAAGGATCCCCATCTTTTAAAAATGACCATAACCGCCCACATCAACAGTTATAACACTTTGCTCTGTAACTGTTGATATTGAGCGATTTATGTTTTTTGAAACTTCAGTTAGGTGTCCTGTTTGATCCTGGTTCGGATCCTGCGTACAGTGGATACAGGCTGGGGTAGTATCCTGCATGGTACGGGAAGCAGTAATGCCGGTACTGTCCTGGTTGAAAGCTTACATATCAATAATGCCGATACGAGAGGCGGAATTGTTCAACACATCTTCAGTGGAGCATGGCAAATCAATAGCCTCTTCTCTTGACCATGGCAAAGTGCGTGAGCTGAAGACCCCCCGCCTTCTTGTCCCCGCGTTCTAGCGTCCCGGTCACACAGTAGCCCAACTGAAAGTCCGCCTGGCTCACATTCGTCGTTAGATGCATGCGGAAGTCAGGCTGGGGCTGTTCTTTAAACTTGCCTTGTATCATCATGGTCCCGTTGCCTTTGTCCACCATCTTGCCTTTCGTCGTGGACTTTTTGGAACCTATGACTTCCACAATTTTACACTTGGACCGGCTCCACCAGTACGTTTTAAGTGTCCAGTAAGAGATGAGAGCCGGTTGTGCCCATCCTTCGTAAGGAAACAGCAAGACCTTGGTGGGGTAGCCCTCGTAGTTGAACACCTTTCGGCAGCATTTCCCACGGGTCTCGTAATAGAACAGTTGAACCATTGTTGTTTGGTCTCCCGAACTCCCGGTCTACCTCACATCATTCTGAAACACAGACCGAGTCAGAATTAGCCACAAGACCTCGTCATAAGCCGATCATATTCAAGACAATTCCGACACATGAGATGACTCATGAATTAACAATAACTCATCGATTGAAAACCGATCTACAATCTTCAAGATATTCAAACTGTCGTTGACCTGACGGCCTTAAGGCCGTGGTTGGTGTATCTAGATGTATGTATGAAGGATGGTGAACGGCCATAGCATCTGTACACGAGAGAAATGGGACACGACATTTGTATATGTATGTAGGAGTGATGGAACTTATCTTGGTAGGGGGTTGACAGTATATCTGTTTATAAGAGCGATAGGAAATTCATATATGTAAATCGGGTGACGCATGCTATTTGTGCATGCATGCAATGTGAACACGGTACTTATCTGTGTATGGTCACCTTGTGTGTGTGTGTGTGTGTGTGTGTGTGTGTGTGTGTGTGTGTGTGTGTGTTGGGATCGATGGGCAGATGAAAATTTGATGTCTGTGTGTCTTCATGTGTGTACGTGTTTCTGTGTAAGTGCACCTACTGTTGTAGTTCTTATCAGTATAAGATGTTTCCGACCTTGAATGACCTAAAATGTCAATACTACAATGAGGTAGTACTACACAAACTTTTTAATGGTTGGTAACAAATATATACAATACAAGTATCACTTGGGTTGGTAACAAATATATACAATACAAGTATCACATGGGTTGGTAACAAATATACACAATACAAGTATCACGCATTCTTCAACTGTTTAGCAGTGAAATCATAATATTCCTTACCTCTGCAGAGGTCATACTCCTCTCCCCATTATTTGTGTGAAACTCACCTGCTAAGTACACACCTACAATGTATTTACCACACACAGACAACCTGCTAAACAACAACCTGCTGAACACAAACCCAGTGTCTGCTGAACACCCACTAACAACCTGCTGTAAACAAATGCAGTGTCTGCTGAACGCCCACCAACAATCTGCTGAACATAAACTCAGTAGCTGCTAAACACCCGCCAACAACCTGCTGAACATAAACTCAGTAGCTGCTAAACACCCACCAACAACCTGCTGAACATAAACTCAGTAGCTGCTGAACACTAACCTAGAACCTGCTGAACATAAACTCAGTAGCTGCTAAACACCCACTAACAACCTGCTGAACATAAACTCAGTAGCTGCTAAACACCCACCAACAACCTGCTAAACATAAACTCAGTAGCTGCTGAACACTAACCTAGAACCTGCTGAACATAAACTCAGTAGCTGCTAAACACCCACCAACAACCTGCTGAACATAAACTCAGTAGCTGCTAAACACCCACCAACAACCTGCTGAACATAAACTCAGTAGCTGCTAAACACCCGCCAACAACCTGCTAAACATAAACTCAGTAGCTGCTAAACACCCGCCACCAACCTGCTAGACATAAACTCAGTAGCTGCTGAACACCCACCAACAACCTGCTGAACATAAACTCAGTAGCTGCTAAACACCCGCCACCAACCTGCTCAACATAAACTCAGTAGCTGCTAAACACCCACCAACAACCTGCTGAACATAAACTCAGTAGCTGCTGAACACTAACCTAGAACTGGCTGAACATAAACTCAGTAGCTGCTAAACACCCACCAACAACCTGCTGAACATAAACTCAGTAGCTGCTAAACACCCTCCAACAATCTGCTGAACATAAACTCAGTAGCTGCTAAACACCCGCCAACAACCTGCTAAACATAAACTTAGTAGCTGCTGAACACCCACCAACAACCTGCTGAACATAATCTCAGTAGCTGCTGAACACCCGCCAACAACCTGCTAAACATAAACTCAGTAGCTGCTGAACACTAACCTAGAACCTGCTGAACATAAACTCAGTAGCTGCTAAACACCCACTAACAACCTGCTGAACATAAACTCAGTAGCTGCTAAACACCCACCAACAACCTGCTGAACATAAACTCAGTAGCTGCTAAACACCCGCCAACAACCTGCTGAACATAAACTCAGTAGCTGCTAACACAACAACCTGCTGAACATAAACTCAGTAGCTGCTGAACACCCGCCAACAACCTGCTGAACATAAACTCAGTAGCTGCTAAACACCCGCCAACAACCTGCTGAACATAAACTTCAGTAGCTGCTGAACACCCACCAACAACCTGCTGAACATATCTCAGTAGCTCAGTAGCTGCTAAACACCCGCCAACAACCTGCTAAACATAAACTCAGTAGCTGCTAAACACCCACCAACAACCTGCTGAACATAAACTCAGTAGCTGCTGAACACTAACCTAGAACTGGCTGAACATAAACTCAGTAGCTGCTAAACACCCGCCAACAACCTGCTGAACATAAACTCAGTAGCTGCTAAACACCCTCCAACAATCTGCTGAACATAAACTCAGTAGCTGCTAAACACCCGCCAACAACCTGCTAAACATAAACTTAGTAGCTGCTGAACACCCACCAACAACCTGCTGAACATAATCTCAGTAGCTGCTGAACACCCGCCAACAACCTGCTAAACATAAACTCAGTAGCTGCTGAACACCCACCAACAACCTGCTGAACGTAAACTCAGTAGCTGTTGAACACCCACCAACAACCTGCTGAATATAAAACCAGTAGCTGCTAAACACCCGCCAACAAACTGCTGAACATAAACTCAGTAGCTGCTGAACACCCTCCAACAAACTGCTGAACATAAACTCAGTAGCTGCTGAACACCCGCCAACAACCTGCTGAACATACACTCAGTAGCTGCTAAACACCCGCCAACAACCTGCTGAACATAAACTCAGTAGCTGCTGAACAATAACCTAGAAGCTGCTGATCACATTACTCACACATTACTGTTTACTCCCTTCTGAGCACATTACGACTATCTACTGAACAAACATCTACAGCCTGCTGAACTCAAACCCATACCCTGCTCAACACATTGCCACTATATGCAGAAAACACACACACACACACACACACACACACATCACTTGTCTAGAGCCTGCTGAGCAAACAAACAAACACACACATACAGAGTCTGCTTAACACATGCACAACCTGCTGGACAAATTACCACAATCTACTGAACTAAATTACCACTATCTACTGAACGAACACACACACACACACACACACACACACACACACACACAGAGAGAGAGACTCACAACGAACCTGCTGAATGCCCACCTGACATATGCCTAACCTGTGTATCACCTGCTGAACAAAACCGTCTAAGTAGTGTCCTCAGCAGGAAACAAACTCTGACAATGCAGTACATTAGTGGACGATAACAAAGAGTATTATGTCCATCAGACAAGGGAATGAAGAACAACGTCAACACAAGCCCACATTATCTGCCGCCCCTTTCTCCAGCCACATCCACACAAACACACAGCACCTGTACTGGTAACAATATAGCCTAATTTGCCTGATGCCATCTTCCCCGTGTGAGGCTGATCACTGACCAGAGTCCGTGTATTATTAATGACCAGGCATGATGTAAGTGTATGCATACTTCTGCCCATTAAAGCCCCCTGCAGGCGCACATTGGCGAGCCTTCTCCAGAACATCTATGCACTCCTAGCACCCCTCTTCTCGATATTGATTCTCCATAAGAACATAATGGGCCAAACATGCTTTCATAATGGCTCCTTAGATAAAAGGCTTCATTAGTATACACAGGCCTATTCTGTGTGGCGTTTGAAGCCTAGCTGGCCCATTTACTGTGTTCTGGTAACGCGGAGATGTTTTTACATCAGGATGATGGTCAGCATCATCAAAAGGAATTTAGATAGGTCATTTCAGGATGTAACAATACAATATTCCCACTGGGATCACATGAAGGAATATAGGCTCTCGCTGTCGTGCTTCCATATGTAGAATCATATACAGACATAAGGACGGAATAGCATCTGCAGGTAGCAATGGCACGAATAGTGCATGCTTTTGAACGGATGTCACAAGAAGACGCCACACTGTGCAGTGGAACACGCCACTATATTCCGTCCAACAGGGTTCTTCAATGGTAATGAATGCACTCCCAATATAGGCGAGACTGACCTGCTGAAAGAGTATCTGTTCTTCGTCCTATATTTGATGAATTATTAAACTACCGATATGCACAAAACAGACGCTGACCATAATATTGCATGAAACAATATATGGATAAAACACATCAATTTGTAGAAATCGTGGCTTCATTGATCGGTGTAATGGCTAGTTTGATATTTGACGTGAAGGACAAGAGGGTTGTTTGCATCAGCATCAACGGGTTGCTTGAACAACTCACGTGTGTTGGCATCACCTGGTGGGAGGTTCCTCAGCGTTACGTCTGCCACCACAGGTTATATTCACGACAATCGGAAGACTGAGTTCGATGAACAATGAGTGGAATTAAGGGCAGACAGAGACATAAACCCAGGGGAGCGAACAGAATAAATCACAATTATAGATATACCTGGAGACAGACAGTGAGACAGGACTTAAGTCAGACTAATGGAAACAGAATTATGGAATGTCGGAAGGTGAGACAGAAGAGCTGAAGAATAAACAACAGTCGTACAGGCGGACAGACGGAGTAAATGTCACAAGGGGGGCATCAAGACGCTCAAACAAGTACATGTGGAGGGACATTCAGACGCCAAATGAAAAAAGGCTAGATGGCGAGACAGCAGGATAAGAAACACAGTGAGTGAGTGTTGTGTGAAGCCGCAGGTAGCAGTATTTCAGAAACATCTGGGAGCATTCCCATGTTTTCCTGCTTGTACTCATGCATGGAATGGAACCCGGGCTTTCGGCGTGACCAATTAGGTTACCAAATCGTGAAGAAATATAGACTGACAAAGGAGAGTGTGAGTGAGTGAGTTTAGTTTTACGCCGCTTTTAGCAATACACCAGCAATATACTGGGATACCAGAAATGGACTTCACACATTGTTCCCATGTGGGGAATGTCTTCGGCGTGACGAGCGAACTGACAAAGGAGACAGTG